ATCATATTTCTATTGATTATATTTTAGAAATTAAATACGAAAATACGTGTTTAATTTATGTTTTTAACTAATTGAACTTGTGTTCGAAATGGTATACGTTCGTGTTCTGAACGATAAATTATACATAAATTAATTTTTTAAAAGAATAATTTTATTATTTATATTTTACTAATACTCAGTTTTTGATAATATTATTTTAAAAAATAAATCTACTAATCTGATTCTAATTTTGATAATTTGTCTTCTATACGCAATTTGTATGTGGATTAAAAAGAAATTAGAGTGGGTGGGTTAGTGTTACGGGAAGTTGTAAACCCTAATCACCGAGCTAATTGGGTTAATTAAGTTGGTAATTAAGGGGATAATTCGCATTGTAGGAGGCAAGTAGAGCAGGGATTGTTTGTACACGTGTACAATTGCGGAGACAATTGCATGGAAATGCATGCACTCTTTTGTCAGTTTATCACCGGACACTATCGGCAGTACAAACACACGTGCCCGACACGATTGAAAGGTTTTTTGTCAGTTCGAACAAACCCACAACTTTGTCTTCCCTTCGTTCCTCTTTCTTGGTTTGCTTATACAATTTATTTTAATTTTTAATTAATTAAACCTTAAAATTTACAGTGTTTATATACATAATATCATACGCACGTGTACGTAGAGTAGTATATAATACGTACGTATATAATTTTATTAACGTCAAAATAAGTGCTTTCAAAACAAAGTTAGTTAAATCACGTTTTGAAAATTTTGAAAATAAGTATAAATTTTATCTTTTATATGTGAAAGTTCATACGAACTTAATTTTTATTATTTCAGACAAAATTTTCACTATCTTTTAGTTAAAAAAAAAAAAAAATTATATCCACAAATAGAAGTATACACAAATTTTAAATTTGTTCAAAGTATAATACAGTATATTCTTACGAGGAATTCAGAATCTTTTTCCGAAATTATTTTATAAAAAATATGCGTCTATTTTAATTATAATTACGCTTATAAAAAATTTATAGTATTAAAAAAATTAGAATTAATCTTGATGTAAAAATAATAGAAAAAAATATTTGCTTTTTCCGATTACATGGAACAATTCTTAACTGTTGATTTTTTTTTTCTCTCGAATGCTATTAGAATTTCGAATGATCTTCGCACACCCAAAACTCAAATATGTTTACGATTTTTACCCAACGCAAGAGAGATAATAGTGATAGATATATATGTAACGGCATCGGAAATTTAAATAAAGATGTATGTATTAAAAATTTAAATGCGGAAGCGAAATAAAAATTCTGATTAACATCCATTACACAATAATCATAAAGGTATTCAATGTATAAAATAATAACCTAATTAAAAGAAATACTCGAAATAAAAACTATGAATATAACTATAAAATCTTTAGACGTCTAACTCACCGTCTTCTTGTGGAACGGGCTCGGGAACTATGTCTTCCTAATCTGAAATAGTTAAGTAAGGAATGAGCTACACTAGCCCAGTAAAGACATCACACTATCTCACTACCACAGAAGTAAAGGTTGGTAGAAAATAAAAACGTCCAATGGAACATAATTTATGACAAACTCATTTATTAATAATGAAAATCTTTACTGTCCACTTACCTCAGTGAGATTCGTAAAAATAACATATGGAAACAATAACATTATAACCATCATAAAATCATATACGCTTTATAACATAACACATGTTATACTTTTGTACTTCAATAATCAGACAACAAATTTTCTCTTTTACCAGCCTACTAGTATCCATGGGGATCCATAGGGGGTCCCCGCTGCACGTGAACCATCAACATTAATAATCTGATTCTAGGGCTATCCCTATACCCCGTCCGGTATGGGTGCCAAAACAATGAACCTCAACACACCGTACCCATACCCCGTCCGGTATGGGAGCCAAAACCATAAACCTCAATACCCCGTCCGGTATGAGGGTGAAACAGGCCGTCCCCATACTTCGTCCGGTATGGGCGCCAAATCACATAAGGTCTCCCTACCCCGTCCGATATGAGAGACCACGTTCCCGGTAGGGTTCTCTACGAAGCCGATCCGTCCACCATCTCCAATGATATCTAGTTAGGCTGTCCACATTATTCATTTATCGATTTACGTAACCTTTTTTTCATTTTTCTTGGTCTCAATTTTTCAATCATACACAAACACGTAAACCAATAATGAACACTAAATAAAACAACACAACATCGGGTTCACCATAATTCAAGTCATAATAAAAGAAACCATGATTCATGCATACTTTCATAAAATAAATACATCAAATACCATACTGCATTTAAAACTGAAAAATAGATCAAACCACAACTGACCGAAAAATACATCAGATTCAGGCTCCATTAGTAACCCTAATTAATTATACACATGTATTAATTAATGAAATGTCGTTTTATTATTTATTGAGCTTCAATACTGTGATAGAAAATATGGTGAAAAATCCTTACTTGTTTCGGGGTCTGAAATCGGATCTACAATGAGCATACAGGCTGTCCCTAAATTCTCTGAATTTTTTTTGAAAAACTGAAACGCACTACCGGTACCTGCACGCATCCCAAAAAATTTCAAATCAGACCCAGGGCCCCTTTTCAGCCAATATCGAAATTCTGGCACGGTGGCTTCGCCGTGCTCCGGCGACAGCACTGCCGCCCGCAGCGGCGATCCGCCTCGGATTGGTCATTTTCGGTCGAATTCGGCCAAACTTGCATTGGTTTCTGCAATAAAACAACCCTAGGGCCCTCGGTGGGCCAAAAAATTACGAAAAATCGAGATTTACCGGCGGCGGAACTCTCGGGTGCGGCGACTTCTCTGGTGCGAGTCGCGATTTGATATTTTTCTCCGGTCAACCTGTAGAGAAAAGGACGGTGATCACAGTGGTGTAAAAATTGCATCGAACGGGAACCGGAAAGGGCCTAATCGGAGGCAAAAATCGAGGGAAGCCGCGGCGGCGCTGCTGGACTTCGGCGGTGTTTTTTGGCCGATTGGTAAGTTGTTTGGCTTCGATTTGGGTATAGGCGGATTCAGCATCGAAAAACGAGCCAATGGGAGAAAATTTACCTCGTTTGGCAGTCAAAAAACCCACTGGTGCGGCGACGAGTAGCGGCGGCCGACTCCTCCGGTGACTGGTTCTTCTCCTCTGGCGAGGATACTGGCGGCTAGGGTTTGGGGTCGGGTGTGGGTGAGGTTATTTATAACATTTTCGTTTTAATCTGGGCCGTCCATCACGATTTAATCTGGGCCGTCCATCGCGATGCGATCTGGGCCGGCTTCACGCGTGAGATTTGAGCCGTCTGCACGCGTGAGATCTGGATCGTTCGATCGCATGCACGCGGATCGCCTACGTGGCTCTGTTCCGCGTCAGCTTCTTTGTCACGCGGCGTGTTCTGGTTAGCCGGGAATACTGACGTGGCACAACTTTCTTAAATTGCGTTTTGATCCCCGGTTTCTGATTTTCTTTTTAAAAACACATCAAGAATCTAAATTTTCACATCTTTTTTCTCAAAATCAATTTCAATTAAATTCCAAAAATAATTTTACTATATTTTATTATTATTATTATTTTTTTATTTTTATTAAATTAAATTAAAACTTTATAAATTAAATATTAAAAATTAAACTAAAATTCTAATATAAATTACAATAAATTAAAAAATAAAAATAATAAATTTGGGTGTTACAATATATGTATTTTATGGGTGTTAACTGTTTAATTGATTAAACATAAATAATTTTTTATTCATTATATATTCAACAATAGTCGTATCTTTTTATAATAAGAGTTTCTTTATTATAATCTTACGAAAAATCGTATCTTTTTTATAAAGGATGTTGTGGACGTTTGTAATTTTTTATGCAACGTAGAATTTATGTGATATTCATTTACATATTCTTATTTATTTAGAGAAAAATACAAATTGTATTAGAAAATAATAATAATAATAATAAATTTTTTATAAAAAAAAAAAAAAAACCCTTAAAAACGGAAGGTGGATTGTTATCGTTGGAAGGTGGATTGTTATCGTTGGGCCGCAAGGCCCGTTCAAACAGGTTACGTGCTTTGAAGCGAAACTCTGGGCCGGGCCCAGGCCCAGGCCCAAACCTTATAGTTTAAAGCTATACCGATTAATTTACGGAAGAAAAAAAATTGTAATTTATAATTCCAAAATTAAAAGGTAAAATGACAGAAAAAAAAATGTGGACCCCACACGATATAATCAAACGCGATATATATATATATATATATATTTAAAAAAATATATATATAATTTAATTTTTAATAATTAAAAACTGTACACTATATAATTTTTAAAAGACATGTCATATTCTGAAAATAAATAAATAAGTTTGAAAAAAGTGGGCTTCGTGGTCCGCTCCGCAGATGATAATTATTTTAAATGGTTATGGACCCTTAATAAATAAAAAGTCCATGTCCAAAATAATTTTCCCAAAATATTTATTTTTCCTTTTTTTTTTTTTTTAAATTTTAAATCTCCAAACACCCAAAACCAAAAATAAATCGCTCTTCGTCCCAACTACTACTTTCCCCGTCCCCGGTCCAATTAGGTTTTCGGGTTCTAAGCCCAATCCCTCTTCTCTCTCTCTCTCTCTCTCTCTCTGTGTCTCTCTCTCTCTACCCCGGCAAACCCCTAGATCTCTGTCTCCGGCGTCGTTGCTCGCCGGCTTGAAGGTTTCGTCTTTGCTATCGAATTCTTCGACGGATCGGAGGATTTTGTTGTTTTCTGCGGGTAAGATGTCGAAACCTAATTGTAACCCTAGGGGTACTGAGTTTTGTTTAATTTCCTGCAATTTTGATATCTGTTTTCTCGGTGGAGTCGGTAACGATTGTTCTTAGCTGTTTTGTGCGTTGATTTTGGTCGGGAATTCTGCGATCGTCAAACTATCGAGTTTTGGAGGCTAGAATGAATTTTGAAAGGAGGGAGGGAGGGAGGGATCGTTTTCTGCTGAATTTATGTCGTAGAGAAGGCTTGTTTTGTTTTTCTCTTGGTCTGGGTCTCGTCTTCTCTGATCTGGGCAGGTGGTGTTTTCAATTTTCGTGGGTCTCGTCTTTGATTCTTTGTAGATTCGGTTTGCCGTTGGTTTTCTTTAGCCTGTTAGGTTAAATTTGGGTCCTTCTTTGAGATGGAAAGATAGTTTCATTTTTTTTTTTAGGGTTATCTGGGCTTATTATTTCAGCTTCTGGTAAAAAGCCCAAGGCGGGAACACCATGTTTAGCACTTATGCCAGTCCACTAGCTATGGCTAGTCCAACAGTAAAAGGACACGTTAGTAAGACAACTCTAACAACGTCACCTCAATTTCTTTCCTTCTCTCCACTTCTGCTTGAACCACCTCGAAGCAAAAGCCTTTCTCGGCTCAGCCCGACATGACCCATGCGTACAGATGGATGTATATATGCATGGTGCTGCTCATGTGTATTTGGCCTTCTTGTGGCGAAATCGTGAATGAATGATCTTTCTTTCGTTCTTTTTTTTTTTTTGTTTTGTTTTGTTTTGTTTTTCTCTTGTTTTGCGTTTATCAATCTGCATAATTCCCTTTTCATCATCGTCTCCGACATGAACAGACCCATAAAACCCATAATTTCTATGGCATGCTTCTTTGCTACGATTCAGTTCCTCTTCCTCCCCTTATCTGGCAATGCACGTGCGAATGCATTGAAGCAGCCACCGTCATTCAAGAACTCCTCAATGACTTCAAGGCCACACCTTCAATCTGTACTCGTCGACTTCTCTGCAAATTTTTCCTTTGCTTTTCCTCTTATTCTATATCCTTAATGCCACCTGTCTTTTCTTATTGGTCTCGTTCTGGCATAAATACTGGACTGCAGATACCTATACCACTAACATCTACCATAACTAGTGAAGACAATTCATAAAAGATTGCTTGGATTTGTTATATAAATGTTTTCCATCTATTGTTTGCAATATCGAATGATCGATCAATGTTGGAATCTGGATTGTCTTTAAACTGTTTTGAATGCATATTTGGGCTTGAAAGTTTATTTTCTCCTTTGATTGAACCTTATAATGTCTGACGTTGCTGTACTTTGATCTTTCTATTATTTTATGTTAAATATATCTCAGACTTGAGCCAATACAATTTGATTTTGTCTTGATACCTTGTTTGCCGTTTAACTGCCTGGCTTCTTTTGCATCTACGATATGAAACATTAGCAGTAACTAAGTTATTAAGTTTTTAATATACCAATAGATCAATGTATGATTCATTTCATTCTGCATCATTAGGAGGATCTGCATATAAATAGTTGAAATGCATATGACTTCAGCCAACAGACTGGTTTGAGATGTCAAGACAAAATCCTAATTTACTGTATAGTTTGCTCCTGCCGTAATAATCCTTCTTGTTGGTTCACTAGTTATCAGATGACAGTTCATTTTTTTTTTATCTGTTTTTGGTGTCATTTATCTTCCCCTTTTTGTTGTCGGAGCTTATGTGGTGTCATTTCCTATACTTAAGTGTGCAGCATATGTTAGTGATGATACAAGGTGTTGCTTGCGTGTCTTACTTTTTCGTTTTGGATTGGGTTTCTATTTTCTTCAGGAACAATGTCGTTATTAATGTTGTTAGAAGGTTACTAATACACTATTTTTATCCATCTTTTGAATTGCTTTCAGGTTTTCACTTGCTGCAAGGAGTAAGAATTCACTTCTTGAGACAAGATGGCAACTGCTGAAGAAAACAATAACTTGGCGCTGATAACCCCAGAAACACAGCCTGGCAAGCGGAGGAAAAAGAAGTCCATTGTCTGGGAACATTTCACAATAGAAAATGTAAGTCCTGGATGCAGGAGGGCATGCTGTAAGCAGTGCAAGCAAAGTTTCGCGTACAGTACAGGTTCAAAGGTAGCAGGCACCAGCCACCTCAAACGACATATTGCCAAGGGAACTTGCCCTGCGCTCTTGCGTAACCAGGAGAATAATCAATTATCACCATACACCCCAAAGACAGGGGGAAGTGAGCAGCCAAAAAGACGATACAGATCCCCTGCTTTACCTTATATTCCATTTGATCAGGATCGATGTCGTCATGAAATTGCTAAGATGATAATCATGCATGACTATCCGCTTCACATGGTTGAACATCCTGGATTCATAGCTTTTGTCCAGAACCTTCAGCCCCGTTTCAACAGGGTGAGCTTCAACACAGTTCAAGGTGATTGTGTTGCAACATATTTAAGGGAGAAACAAAGTGTCATGAAGTACACGGAGGGTATTCCAGGCCGTGTTTGCCTCTCTATGGACTTGTGGACTTCAAATCAAACATTAGGTTATGTCTTTATAACTGGACATTTCATTGATTCTGATTGGAAGTTGCAGAGGAGGCTTCTCAATGTCGTGATGGAACCATACCCTGATTCGGACACTGCTTTAAGTCATGCTGTAGCTGCTTGCCTTTCTGATTGGAATTTAGAGGGCAAGTTATTTTCTGTCACTTTCAATCATCCACTCGATGAAGCTGGGCTTGAAAATCTTAGGCCTCTTCTCTGCACCAAAAATCCTCTTATTTTAAATGGTCAGTTATTGCTTGTGAATTGTATATCCCGTACATTAGGCAGTATTGCAAAAGATGTCTTAGGTGCAGGGCAAGAGATAATCAAGAAAATCCGTGATAGTGTGAAGTATGTGAAGATATCAGAATCACATGAGGAAAAGTTTCTCGAGCTCAAGCAACAACTTCAAGTACCCAGCGAAAAAAGCCTATTTCTTGATGATCAATCTCAGTGGAACACAACATATCATATGCTTGTGGCTGCTTCAGAGTTGAAGGAAGTGTTTTCTTGCTTGGATACTTCTGATCCTGATTATAAGGAAGCCCCGTCAATGGAGGACTGGAAGCAGACTGAGACTCTTTGCGCATTCTTGAAACCTCTTTTTGATGCAGGCAACATGCTGACAACCACCAGTAACCCAACTGCAATTACAATCTTTCATGAAGTGTGGAAGATTCAGTCAGATCTGACTCGTACTATCACAAGTGAGGATCCTGGTATCAGCAATCTTGCTAAAGCAATGCACGAGAAGATTGACAAGTACTGGAAGGATTGTAGCTTGATTTTGGCAATTGCAGTGGTAATGGATCCTCGGTTCAAGATGAAGCTTGTTGAGTTTAGTTTCTCGAAAATCTACGGTGAAGATGCTCCTACATATATCAAAATTGTTGATGATGGAATTCATGAGCTCTTTCTTGAGTATGTGGCACTTCCTCTGCCCCTTACACCTACTTATGCAGAAGATGGAAACCTGAGGATGGAGGATTCCCAGGGAAATCTCCTTTCAGACCACGGATTGACAGACTTTGATGTCTACATCATGGAAACTACTAGCCAGCACATGAAGTCCGAGCTAGATCAGTATCTGGAAGAATCTCTGCTTCCTCGTGTCCAAGAGTTTGATATGTTGGGTTGGTGGAAACTGAACAAGCTGAAATACCCAACTCTTTCCAAAATGGCTCGAGATATTCTATCAATTTCAGTATCTGCTGCTTCGCCTGAGAATGTGTTTGATATCAATACACCGAGGGAGATGGACAGTTACAGAGCTTCTTTGCGGCCAGAGACTGTTGAAGCCCTTATATGCGCCAAGGATTGGCTCCAGCAGGGATTAACCGAAGTGCCAAGTGCACCAATCAAGATGGAATTTTAGGTGTTAGTTGTAGGCTTGTAGGTAGCTAGTTAGTTCTGTGATATGCTATTATTAGGCTACCGTTTGTATCATTTCAAGTGAAAGTTGTAAGGATTGATTGAACGTACAAGCCAAATTTGTAGAGCAGCTCGTGTTTTAACTTGCTTTTTAATATGCCTCAG